CGGACACACAACCTGAAGGCAGAAAAGAAAAAAACCCAAAACGATCAAAGGCTTCAGTTACAGCACAGACTCATCGACGTTGTGCTCTGCCTGAGACTGGTGATCACCACTGACTTTGTGGCAAAGCCTCTCTGTCGACTGCTGGAGAAGACCCTGTTCACGATGGGCTCCCTGACGCTGTAGAACAAACGGTTGTCATCTGGGCTGAACACCAGAGACTTGTTGTATTCCTCTGTAACTGATCACACAGGCACAAGAGCAAGATTAAAAAAAAGGCTATAAAACTACACAAACCAACAATAATGACAAGAGAAATAGGAGCTCACCTTTTTCAATTAATTCTTGGTTAAGGGGGATATCCAGACCTGACTGGGATTTCCCTGGAAGAAAATAAAAAGGCATTTAGGAAACAAATGGGGTTTTAAGCATGCAAGGACCAGTTACAATCTACAGTTCCAGAACAGTACAATAGAGGCCAAATATTATCTAATACATTTTGGATTCCAGGTAAGTGGGATGACTGCAGTTTGTTAACTTTTGTTTTGAAAATTTGGGAAGTTTAGCATTAACCTTACTGGGTGTGTTATAGTTTAAGTGAAAGGTCCTCAGCATTACTAATAAAATAATACCAGGTTTTATTCTTTTTCTCCCCTCTTAATCCACATGCTGGTGGAAAGTGGACCTTTTGTACCTCCCCTTATTTGATGTCATGAATGCTGTTCCAGTGGTGGACACCAGAGTTATTAGAGTTTTTCATTTTCATATTTTATTATTTGGACTTTTTGCTTTTAATTGAATTTAGTTTCAGTCAGCTTCCAGAGTGGAATGTTTAGTTTTATTTGTTTCAGTGTCTTTTACATTATTATTCTATGAAGTGGAGAGTCAGAGGCAACATTTCTTGTAGGCAGGCAAGTATCAATAGAATCTTTACCAGACTAACACATACTAAAACTCAGGCTCTTTCCTTTATAATAATAATAACAACCTTGGGTGGATACTCAGTGTTACCCCTGTCCACAGTTTTAAGTTATGTGGTAAGTGTATGTGCTTTAGCCCTAAAAACTCGAGACAATTTAGTATGTACGGATCTATTTGCAGTGTTGGGAAGGTTACTTTTAAAATGTATTCCATTACAGAATACAGAATACATGCCCC